AAAGCTATATATTTCAAATTTTTATTAGGGCTAACTTTATTTTCAACTTACTGCACATTTTATCATAATTCCCACCTCCCCCAAATATTGCAACTCACATTTTTGTATCGCGATGCCATGCCAATCAGTTAAAAAAAATTTAAAGATTGAAACATTTTGCCTTTTTCCAAAAAAAATTAGACATGTTGCTTTAAATCAGTAATTTTTTTTACAAAAATCATTTGATTTAAATCGCGATTAAAATCGGCGATTGAAATCAAGGTGATTTACTTGTAAATCAGCCAACCCTGCATGGAGGTGGTGTGTGATCCTGTTCCGAGAACAGTATTCTCGGGTTGTTTCCTGCCGTTGGAGTGCGAGAACAAGAACAGGCTGCCATTAAGAGTGGGCCGCCCGAACTCGACTTAAGTTTCTGTAAGTCTATCATTTTCTAGTACATGTAGTCAGAAAATGAACAATGAAGTAAAGACTCTGTTACTCATGATAGGAGCTGATGGACTAAACTAGCATTGCACATCATAAACTTGAAAACTTCAATATTCCATTGGAGTGAAGTGAACTAAAAAGTGACATCATGCCTTTCTGGACGACTGAGGCCGCTGTAATCTCAATCTTTCGGCAATTAATTATGCCAACAGGGAAGATGCTTCTTTTATGAGTTTTTCTATCAAAACTCTGAAACCAAAATTTACTCCTTGAACATGTCTCAGGAAATGTTGACCATTGATCTTTGGTAATTTGCAATGAAACAGCGAGGAAAAGAAAACTTAGGCCAGGAAATGAGAACAATTCCAGTACAGTCGGTGCATTCAACTACCTTGCCCTGGTTACAAGGATTTAATCTTTGTCTTGTCCCTACGCTCGTCACCCAGTGACTGAACAGGGCACTGGGAAGGGCTCATGGCCTTGCACAGATTCTACATGTAGTGAAGGAAATATGTTACAAGGGGTCACAGCTAACGACGTGCAGAGAATTTTGGGTAGATTTCTGCGAGGTGCACGAGCTCACTCAATGCGTTGAAATACAAGGGAAAGTTATCAATTCAATATTTTTTCTTTTTCTTCCTCATTGCTGAAAATATTTTCACTACTAAATATTTTCATCCAAAATTGATCAAGATAACCAATGATTGTAAAAATATTGCCAAAAGACACATGATCAGTGATACCTTAATACCACACTGTGATTGTACCAAGGCCTTGTTTTTATCATATAGCTGACATTTTGCCCTAACCAAAATATTTAACAGAAGTGATAACCTCATGGTCAAAGGTTATGTAGAACGTACATGTAGCCAATCAAAGTGCTATTCAATCAGCCCTTCCCGGCACCCTGTTCAGGCACTGGGTGACAAGTGAATCTTGTCCCCACCGTCTTGCTTGACAAGGCATACACAGCCATCCCAAGGTCAGGGTTACCCCATGTAAGCAACCCAAAAGAACTCATTGTTTTCTGCTAACCAAAAGCCAAGGGGGGATCCAGGACCACAATTTCGTAGTGGGGAGTGGATTTGTTTTGCTTTTGAAATTTTTTTGAGGGGTTTGGCCTATTTATACACAGTTTGAAAGGGAAACTTCATTACCTTTTGGGCTGCCTTTTGTGGGGAGGGGGTATGGCCCCTTTTCCCAGATACACCCTTGCTGAAAGCCATCACATACATGTACAACACATGACTCTTACCTGTGCTACTTATGACATAACTTATGTCTGCAGCTATGGGGATTTCATCGCTGGTCCTTCAACTTGCACCAGGATGCGGGATACGTTAGCCGGTCTGAACGTAGGCAGCCACTGCACCACCTTCAACAGGAGACAAGGTCTTCCCAAATCTAAGTGGGGAAAAATGACAAAAATAACAAGAAAAGGTTACCTTTAAGGTTTTTCAGTCATTTCCCATAGACTTATGAACTACTATCAGCCTTAGCCAGTTGATTTGGTGTATCTTAAGCCGGTAACCAAACGAACAAAGATGGTACCCAGTAACTTCTGTGTTGTACAAATAGTGAAATCTGTGACTGTGAGGGGGGGTTTCTCGAAGAACCTCTCATAGATCTGTAGCGACCCATGACCTATAAAAGTCACACTAACAAATGACCATTTATGCAAATGACCTTCTTTCTATGCCATATTGTTTTCGCACATGTGTTCTCCCTGGAATTTTCCTATGTCTTCTACCTAATTTTTGCCAGCTTCATCCACTACTTAGTTTTTGTTAACTGTTCAAGGAGAATTGTTCTTCATATCTTCTATTTTATCAACTGTGCAGTGATAGTAATAAACTGACTGACCCTAAAAAAGACACTTTCTGTCGGTCGAGCACCAGTCCACGTGCATGCTGGGCAACTCGCCCAAACAAAGACTGACAGAGTTGCCCCATTGGACGGGGGTGTATACATGTACATGTACCAGGTCGCCGATTTGACCGACCACGTCGAGCAAAGTTTCCTTTTGGCCCGACAGCAACCAACCCAACCCAACAAATCAATTCCGTCTTAAAGGAGATGGGGTGGGGACCCTTAACATTTACAAGTAATTCTTTGTGTTCATTCTGACACAATTTTTGTGAAAAATCCCACAAATTGTTCTAGCCCAGCACTCTTTCTTCTGAGACGGTTCAACCTAAAACGTATACTCTTCCACTGCTGTGCTCAATGCTCATGGGCTAGCACGTGTGTGGCCTTCAACTTACAATGACTCTAACAAAACCCTTATGGCAGATTGAGTTAATGTTGTACTAATACATGTATGGAATGTCTTTACATGCATACTGGATTTTAAAAAATCGGCCATGGGACAACCGAGTTCTTGAGAGGGGGGAGGAAAGCCTGCCTTGGACAGGAACTGGACAGTCCAGTTCTTGAGGGCATTATCCCCCCCCCCTTCCCTTGGCTATAAGATGATAGAAAAAACCAGCTCTTTTCGTGTTACAACGTTAGAAAGTGCAAGGGCCAAACGTATCAGCGAAAATTTAATTTCTAAACAAACATGACTGAAAAGTGACAGCTTGTGTACCTGCTGTTGTCTCCATCCACTGTTCTTATTCCTCATCACTGTCAGAGTCGGCATCGCCATCACCACAGTCCACACTGGAGCTTGAGTCTCTCCTGCGCTTGCTTCTTAAGAAGAAGAAAATGAGATATAAAAAACCATATGTCATCACTGACTCTGAGAGTTGACTTCCGCAATGAGAACATACCAATGACTTTATAAAAGAAATACAACCAATTACAAAAGACGGGATAGACTTCCATTTCCTTCATTTTTCGTCCGTCTTTCCGTTGTTTGGATTTTAAAACTTTTCCCTTCTCTCTGAAAAGAGAGAAATGACCCACAATGTTATTCCTCAGTTGACAACCACATTGAGGAGTACAGCGGACATTGCATTGCTCAGGAAACAGTTGTCAGAATGTGTGTGCCGACACTGCTTTGTGAAATTGTCAGCTGGCTCGGCACATGGCCAGTGCATTGTGACCATCTTTGGTCAGAATCTTCAGACACTTTTGCAAACAGTTTGAATCGCTAAAATTTTTCTTTTCTTCTCAAATGTGAGTAAACATTACCATCATTATTGGAACCTCCGATTCTTGCTTAATCTTAGGCCAGGGGCATTTGGAGGTGAATTAAGAGGATTTTGATTCGGGGTACGACAGTGCACCAGCTACCTTTTTAGTGAAATGAATTGAGGAAGCAAAAACATATGGAAGGTACTGTAACAATGCATACCATCACCATCTGCAGGTCTGGATGGCAATGTGGGCAATGTGAGACATTATGGGAGGTTCATTAATTACAGTCAACAACAGTCACATTTACCCTTGCGTATAATCAACTCACAAGAGCCATCTTGACAAGCAATGAGACTTGCCTTCCCATAATGCACTTCACAATCAGATTGGTACATTGTCCTGTTACAGTACTTAGACTCCACATGTATCGCCAAACCATGTGTTAACCACTTCCTGCCGGGGCAGTTATCAATGTTGATGATGCTGGGCCGGGATATTTATCATTTTTTTCTGTTTTTCGAAATTCATTAACAATTCCTACATGTATCTTCATTTATTGGACACTTACAAACACGTGAAGGACAGTCTGGTGGCCCCTCTAGCCTGACAGACAAAATCTATTTATCCCTGAGTATTTCAGCCAGGCCTGCAAGCCTTGTAAAAAGAGCCCAGATTATGTGGTGTTATATAACTTTCTTTTGTTCAGGAACCTGACTTAATGTGCTGCTGACCTCTTTTCAATAGGGGCCAGATTAGCATGCAGCGGTGCTGTGTGGCTAATCGCTGTGGTGGTGGAGCGCTTTTGTCTCTGGTGGTAATCCGCTCGCTCTAAATGCCCCAAACCATGGTATACTGTTTCAAAACAAGGCTGGATTATCTCCACTTTTGAGAGGGAAAAAATGTTGGTAATTCCTAGCAGCATGGTCTTTTGTTCCGAGTACAGTCTTTTGTTACAAGGCCCTGTTCCCTTTGTCGGAGTTCGGAGACCCCAGCCACACATATAAAGCATACATGTCCGGATCCGGAATCCCGGCAGGGAGCAGTAGTAGTATTCTTCTCCTTCTGTCTTAAAAGACAATGGATCTGCACTGGAAAAAGTCAGTTTGTTGTGGAGCAGCGCCGGCTATGGCTGATAGGTCCAATTCTGGATTGACAGTTTTTGTCACAATGCCTGCACGTGTAGGCACTGGGCAGCAAAGGTGCGGGGGCTCCTCTTGCTCTACGTCGCTCCCTCTTGTCTTGCCACTGCTGTTTCCTTCTCTCCTCCCCTCTCTTGACACCTGTTCTGACGACATGACGCCAGTTGTTGCAGTCGTCAGCAGCCATTTCCCATGAGCTTGGGTCGATCTCCGCAGCCTTCATGTCCCTCTTGCACATGTACTTGAAGCGCAGCATGGGGCGACCGGCTGATCTGGATCCTGCTGCGAGCTTGCCATAGAGGACGTCTTTTGGCAGACGTCCTTCCTCCATCCGGCGAACATGTCCCAGCCACCTCAGACGTCTCTGGGACAGCATCGCAAACATGCTTTGGGTGCCTTCTCAAGCACCTCAGTGTTTGGTACTCTGTCCTGCCAGGAGATGCCCAAGATGTGCTGCAGGCAACGCTGGTGGAAACTGTTGAGGCGCCGTTCCTGTCTGGCATACGCTGTCCAGGTTTCGCTGCCATACAGTAGTGTACTCAACACGCAGGTGTTATACACCGAAATCTTGGTGTTGACAGTGAGTTTGCTGTTTTCCCACACCCTCGTTGACAGGCGTGCCATGGTGGAGGCTGCTCTGCCAATGCGCTTGCTGATCTCAGCATTCAAGGACAAGTTGCTGGCAATTGTTGAGCCAAGAAAAGTGAACTCCTCAACCACTTCCAGGGTGTGGTCACCTATGCCGATGCTGGGCGCTTGGCTGACATCCTGACCCATCACATTTGTTTTCTTCAAACTGATGGTCAAGCCGAACTCGCTGCAGGTGTGTGCAAGGCAGGTAATAAGTCTCTGTAGACCTGCCTCTGAGTGAGAGGCCAGAGCAGCATCATCAGCAAACAGCATCTCACGTGGCAGCAGCTGATGGACTTTGGTCTTAGCTTGCAAACAAGCAAGGTTGAAAAGTTTGCTGTCTGACCGTGTATGGAGGTAGACCCCATCCTCCTCAGAATTGAAAGCTGACGAGAGCAGCAGCGAGAAGAAGATGCCAAAGAGTGTGGCAGCAAGGACGCATCCCTGTTTCACTCCGCTCTTGATGGGGAATGGGGCAGAGGATGAGCCGTCAGACTACACTATGCCCCGCATGTCGTCATGGAAGGACGAAATCACACTCAGCAACTTCAGAGGGCATCCAATCTTCTCCAGGAGCCTGAAGAGACCCTTCCTGCTGACCGAATCAAAAGCCTTGGTCAGATCGATAAAGGCGATGTAGAGGGCCTGTTTCTGTTCCCGACACTTCTCTTGCAGCTGTCTCCCTGTGAAGATCATGTCGATGGTGGACCTCTGTGCTCTGAAACCGCACTGGGACTCCGGGTATACTCGATCAGCGAGCTGCTGCAACCTTTTCAGTGCAACACGAGCAAATGCCTTCCCCATGATGCTGAGCAGCGAAATACCTCTGTAGTTGTTGCAGTCGCTGCGATCTCCCTTGTTCTTGTAGATGGTCATGATGTTTGCATTGCGTATGTCATGGGGTATGGAGCCTTCCTCCCAGCACTGACACAGGAGCTCGTGGAGGTGGTGTAATAGAGTGGGCTTAGCACACTGCAACACCTCTGCCTGGATGCCATCGTTTCCAGGAGCCTTGCTATGAGCGAGGGAGTCAATGGCCTTGCTGAGCTCCTCCTCTGTTGGCGAGTTGTCAAGCTCCTCTATGACGGGCAGACTGGGGATGCTGTTGATGGCCGTCTCTGTGACGACGTTCTCTCTCAGGTAGAGGTCTTGGTAATGCTCTGCCCACCATTCCATCTGTTTGCTGTGGTCGATGATGGTCTCACCAGAGGATGACTTCAGGGGAGCTGTTTTCCTCGCAGTAGGTCCGAAGGCTTTCCTCATCCCTTCATAGACTCCACGTGTGTTCCCTCTGTCAGCAGCCTCTTGAATGCTGCGACACAAGTTCAGCCAGTACTGGTTGGCGCAGTGACGTGCAGTTCTCTGAGCATTGTTTCTGCCACTTCTCAGAGCAGCGAGGTTCCTAGCTGACGGTTCCCTCTTGTACTTCATCAGAGCTTCAGGCTTGGTTTTGATAAGAGGTTCCATCTCTAGGAGATTCTCCTCAAACCAGTCTGTGTTTCGGTGCTCCTTCTTTCCGAACGTTGACAGGGCTGCGCTGTGGATGGTGTCTCGCAAGAAGTTCCATCTCTCTTCTGCAGTCTCAATGCCGGCTCGTCCCCGCGGGTTGTTGAAACAGCATCAGTGAACTCACTGCAGAACTCGGAGTCAGACGTCTTAGCAGTGTTGATGCGTGGGGTCCTGTGTGCTTGGAGTGGTGGATCTTTTGTGGCAAGAGGTGTACTTTGCTGCAAACCAATGAGTGGTCTGTGTCGCAGTCTGCACTGTGGAAGCTGCGTGTGAGCAGCTGGGCTCTTCTGCTGATGATCAAGTCCAACTGGTGCCAGTTGTGCAACCTTGAGTGCCTCTAGGACACTCGGTGGTATGGCTTGGTGCTGAAGAACATGTTGGTGATGCACAGCTTGCGGTAGGAACAGAGTTCCAGCAGTCTCTGGCCGTTCTCCTTCATCTAGCCAAGTGTCCAAGGCAATCAGGCCAGGTGTCATGATCTCCTCCCACTCTGGCATTGAAATCCCCAAGCAGAAACAAGTGCTCAGAGCCTGGGATGTTGCATACAGCAGCACCAAGTTCCTCGTAGAACTGATCCTTGTCCTCTGGCGCAAAACAGAGCTTTGGCCCGTAGACGCTCGGTATGGTGGTGGAACCTGCAGAGGTGGAAAGTGGCAGGGCCAGGATACGTTCCCTGCCGCCTGTTGGAGGTTCGATAGCTGGCAGCAGGCTGTTCTTGACAGCAAATCCAACACCATACAGACGTGGTTCCTCCTCTGCTCTACCCCCCCCAGAAGAAGGTGTAGTTGTTCTCAAGAAGCATGCCGCTGACTGGGAGCCTGGTTTCTTGCAGAGCAGCGATGTCAACATTCAGTCTTAGAAGTTAACTGTTGATGATGGCCGTCTTTTGAGAGTCGTCAATCTGATGCAAGTCGTCGGATAAGCCAGAACGCATGGTCCTGACATTCCAGCTCGCGAGTCGCAGGGCTGGCAGTTTCTTTTCTTCTTATTTTGTTTGGTGCGATGTTCCCGTCTGCTTTTCGAGTTTTCTCTAAGCTCCAGGCCCCCACTGAAGCAGGCAGACCGTGGCGGGTCATTACCTTACTGGCCGGGGGCTGTCCGGCTTGAGGCGGGCGGTAGCAGACCAGTGGGACACGATGGTCCCTCCCACCGGCGGAGGCAACCCGTAGCGTCCTACCCTACGACAATCAGGTTGGACTTATCACTTGTAAACTGTTGCCTCCCATGTTGATTTAGCTGCTATACAGCAGCACCGAAGTGACCTCTCCAGGGCGCAGAACTGGGCAAGATGTATGGAGATTCAGGGCTGCCCATGCTCCAAAATCCCCCTCTTGGCCTCGCTGATGTGGTTCAAAGGAAAGTTGGGCAATACATTTGGCACAAGGTTGGCTGCAGGAGCTGTCAGAAGGAAGTCAGAAATGACGCCCATCTGCCTTAGGTGCTCCGGACCAGATTTCTGTTGGGTTTACTCCTTAGCCCTTCCTCCTCCTGGAGGTATCCACAAGGCAGCAGAGGTTTGAATTCAGAGTTTTCCTTCTCCTAGATGGATTGCCGACCAAGCCTAAGGAGCCCCATCTACCCCAGCAGGGAGTGGTTAATGTTAAAAAAGGCCATTTGTAGAGTCCAAGTTACTCGGACTGGGTATAATTAATGCATTTGATTGACAAGTTACATGAATGTGCTGGCGAATGCAGATTCAGTCACCTTTGTTGACAGCAATATGCTAAGTGCAACACCAGCCCAAAATAGTTGATGGCCATCGGCATTACAAATAATAATTTGAAGAAACATGAGAAATGATGGACACAAAACAGTTAAAAGCCTATAATAAAGGGGCCTATGGATGCTTGTAAGTGGCGGGTAAATGCTGTTTCATTAGAAATAAAAATAAATAAACATTTGTGATCATTGCCACCGCATACAACCAATGAAAATGCTGGACATGCTAGAATTAACAAGATGATGATTTACAAGGCAAATGTGCCTCAGTTTTCAAGTTTATGAAGTTGGCGCACCACCTGGAAGAAGAAGCTGATCGCACCACTCATGCCAACATTAGCTCTACTGAGTGGAGCGTAAGTATTCCTTTTTTTCAAATTTTGGACTAGATCGGTCCACACTAACGCACTACGACATTACACAGGTATAGTAAAAGCGAAATGGGTCAAATTTTGCATTGAAAAATCCCCACCGTGTTTAGTAAGTAGGACATAAATGGCATCGTACTACAGCGCCCCCTGAACACAGGTGTTCCAGATGTTCAATAAAATCAGTGAATACACTCTGATCAAATGTGTGTGTTTGAGGTTAGCTTCTTTTGGGGAGCCTAAGGGGCGGGCGCATTGCTTGGACTTGCAAATGAACTTGCACCTCTTGTTAGTGTTTTGAATTACGTCACCTACTGTTCAAGAGTTGAAGACAGCTGAAAGGCAGATAATCAAGTTCGTGCAGAGGCAGTCCTTCCCAAGCGAGTTTCAGTCAGATGTTGGGGATAAGAAGAGGTCACAAAATCTCTTGAAGGGTCTGGGGAGGACGAATCTCATTCTACATGACGGTTTGCTTTGTGTGGGCGGAAGATTGGACAGGTCACCGCTGTACAACAAGCAGAAACACCCACTGATCGGGCGTGCTGATCATCACATCACCAAGCTCCTGATTGTTCACTACCATCAAAGGGTTGGACAAAGGGATTAGGGAATTTCCGTAATATGGTCCCTGCACAACAAACAACAAATAGAATTGAAATCAAAATCAAAGTGTTAAAATAAAATTAATCATCCAGCTTTTTGTTTGTGGGACCATGCTTGCGAGTTTTACCATTTTAATGATATAAGGTGAACAAACCTCCCTGGCATTTAACATCGTCCAAACAGTGAGAAAAACAGGAAAAAGGGGAAGAAAAATTATCGTAATCCATTTGGGGTATAAAAGGGAGACAAGATATCGTAATATCATAAATATAGTATCGTTTGCAAAAAATCGGGGAAGGCCGTGAATCGAACAAATTTGGGGGCAGTACTTTAACAGCTTCACTTGCAACATAACAGCAATTCGAAATATGTTTTGTCATACATGTACTCCACAGTCATCAAGGTTCTTGAATCAAATCACTATCAAATTTTAGGATTCCCATTATTTAAAAATCCGCCAAGAATAAACGTACATTTTCCTCATTCACATAGTTCTGGCTGGGATCGCGCATGTAAAGTATGTCCCAACTACTACAGTACTTATAGCATGCTCATAATTTGTGCCTGGTGATGATGCTTTCGGTGCTGTTAAAGCAATTTGGGTGCACGTGCTTCTAGTTCTACCTAATCAGTTATGCAAGTTCTCTTTTAAACATCTGGACATTTACAAATTTATTACACTGACTGAATTCCTATAAATCAGAAAATGCTGCTTCATTGGAAAATCTGCTTGTTTAGGTGGTTTTAGCTCAATAAAAAATTATTTGCTGGTGTATTTTTATGCGCAAAGTTTTTGGCCCTGATCCAGAACTGGATGAAGCGACCCCGATCTGGAACTAGGAAAAGTTTTGTCGGAGCTTAGTAGCCACTTGGCTGGGGTTTGAACCAGGGAAGCGGTGGCAACTTCAATCACAAACTTTCACAGAATGGCCAGGATAAGGCAAGGGTTATTTTTCTTTTTTTTAATAATTAAAACCGGACTTTTATTTCAAATATGGTTTCCTTCAATCTTCCCTTTTACATGTGAAGGTGCCGAGTCGGTCAGGTGCTGAGTTGGAAAATGCAGACCGGAGGCAAAATTTAGGTGCCTAGTTGGCTAGGTGCCGACCAGGTGCCAAGTTTGAAAGGTGACAAGTTGCCGAGGTGCCGAGTTGCAGAAATTTAAGTGAAGTAACTTGGTTTGTCAACTGGGGAGTGTGCGGCGCAAGGTAGGATCATTGGGATCAGCTTAACTTGCACCCAAACCAACTTGGACTGCCAAATCAGACCCATGCCAACTCCGACCCACAACTAATTCGGACACATAATTGACTCGGACCCACCCTGAGTCACCTTGGGCCCACCGAGCCTTAAATTATTTTGGCAAATTTGTAACAATAAATGAAACAAGCAAAGCCTGACAGCCCCAGTAGCAAGGCTTTCAGCGTGGATCCCAAAATAGTCTTGCTTCTAGAGATGTTCCAGTTTGCAACCGAGACGATTTCTGCGCACTTCAATTCTTTTAATTAAGCAGTATACTAGATAATCCTTTACATGTACATGTAAAACCTTCCTCAAAATCTAATCATTCCTGTTTCTAAAAGCTGGGGTTTACGTACACGTGTATCCACTGAAAAGTTGCAGTGTAAAAGATAATAATTTATCATTTTTATTAACGTTAAATTTTGTTTCATAAAGAATTTTGTACCGTACCGCACTGTTTAGACATCAATCTAATGACTGAGTTAAGTGAAGCATTTTCACATTCCAGTGGACATCAAACTTCATTGCCTATGCAGGAATCAGAAGACAGCACTTTAATTACTTTTGACTTTTGTTGGTACAGTTAATGTCTGAAAGTTTCTAAAAAGCTGCAGATTTTCACTACATACCGGTACATGATGAAGTGTTTACTTCTAAGCATGGCTAAGGTCTGATCGCAATTTTTCACAGTAATACAGTGTACATAATTATGAGGAATGGAATAATGAAGTAAGATATGGACAAATGAAATCTAAAACTTAAGATTTTTTTAAATTTGAATAACATAATGAAAGGTTGAATAAAATAGAGGCGAAAAGTGTCCTTTAGAACACTCTGATAACTAAACGTTCCTCGGGTTGGGTCCGAGTTGACTCGGGGTGGGTCCGAGTTGGTATTGAGTTGATTGAAACCTTATCGTTGATGGCTTGCACTGTGCAGCTGAAAAAAATGAATCAAACTTTACGCAAGATCCTCTTTTTTAGTTCACTGGAATTCTACTAGTTTTCTCTAAATTAAGACATTTTTCAGTACTAAAATCAGCTCTTTACAATGGTTCTGGCTGAAAATAGATTTGCCGCTCGCGTGGTTACTTTCTGGAAATTGATCCACAACGAGGAAAGGTGTTGTCGCCACTTTTTTTTATCCTGTAGGTACATCTAAATTAAAACTTTAAAATTTGGAATTAATTTGGTAGTATCTCAAACACTAGCTCTACTAAGTGGAGTGTTAGTATTCCTCTTTTTATGATTTTGGACAGGATTGTCATACGCCTCCACTTAGTAGAGCTACTCAAACACACAAGGTGGCCTACTGTCTGACCACATTTACTATGGCCTAACTGGATTTTGAGGATTTTTTGTAGCTGCAGTCTGACTGAACATTTTTTGCCATCTGGAACTGGGAAAACGTCTGCATTAGGCATATGTGTAGAGATCTCACTGGTCGAGTTACATGTATAGCTCTGTCAAAAGTCGAGTTGTCGTAAGGGAACAGACAACTTGGCAAACGGTCGAGGTGTCTCAACTGGTCATACTAATTAAAGTCAACACAGCGTCAACACGCGCCAACACATGATAGTAACGTCAACACACCCAAATCACGTTCTAAATTCGATAGCAATATAATGCCTAAAATACAATTTGGCTAATAACAGTGGGGGAAAAAGCCGTTTTATTTCACGAAAATAACACCCTCCGCACAGCCACGAAAGACGGTACACATGTTGCCTCTCGGTCAGATGGACCATACCATTATGATACGGGGGGTCACCTTTATACAGTAAACCATGGTACGGTCCAAACGCTGTGAGAAGGCAAGATGGCAGTGAACGGTGGCGCTGCTCATTCATAGACAATTTTTTCGCATGAAAAAACTCCCTTGAAATGTAGTAAAATGTAAACTCGATTAAATAGAAATTATTCCCAAGCATATACCTTACAGTTTGATCCGTCTATTTTCTGTTTTCAATGCATTTTGTAAGTGTTGACGGTGTGTTGACGTTACTATCAATGTGTTGACGGTGTGTTGACGCTGATTAGTAATGACCCGTCTCAACGGTCGAGTTGGCAAACGGTCGAGTTGTCAGTACTTTTTGCATTTGCTTGTCATACCTTTGGTTGCTGATGGCGAAGAACTTCTTCTGCCATGATGATTATCAGCTTTCCACCACCCATCACTTAGCCTGGGGGCGTGGAACTTCTTCTGCCATGATGATTATCAGCTTTCCACCACCCACCACTTAGCCTGGGGGAAAACCAAGGATTATCAACCGACCTTTGTCTGTTCCTGAGTCTTAAACTTCAAGTTTATGAAGTTGACGCACCACCTGGAAGAAGAAGAAATCAATTTGCTTCCGGGTTAACAGCATGCATGCACACTTGATATTCCCGCAAATTCGAAAGCAACACTGTACAAGTTGTGTCTGTGGTGTATTCTTCCGCAGAACAAATCTAGTATTTCGATGGAAAGAACTTACTTTTAGCGTTAAAGCATTATAAAGAAAAGTTCAAGACATCATTCTGTAATACAATATTCTCATTTATCAGGAAGGTTAAATGAATTTGATTTGTAGCCCTATGTTTATTAGCGGCGGCAGACTACTACAGTTAGTTCGATAGTGTTTCGGCAGCTTGTGCAGAAAGGTCGTGTGTCACTCGGTCAGAGGTCGCATAATTAACGAGCGTTTTTCACCTTGGAGATATGTCCCCTTTCGTTCAATTTCTGATCACATATGTCGCATTATTTCGCAGAAAAGTAGCAATTTCAACATACAATTATCGTACTTATATCAAACGTATGACCTAAGCATGGATGAGAAGCAATCATCTGCCAGGAAACTGTCTGGAGATAAGCAGAAAAAGTCATCAAAGAAACGAAGGAAGGTGAAGCACAAAGACCGGGAAGCCGAACGCAAGCGGCCGTCTGGCAAACATCACCTGGGGTTCAAGTCCTCAAGCCCAGACGAGACAAACTCAGACAGTGCGCTGGAATTTGGTGAGTCAGTGCTTGAACTTCTAAGGGATTAATAACTGTTGTGGGGATGGAACAATGGAAATTTGATTAGGAAATTGTATCCACTTAAACTATTTATAGCCTATGTCAAATTGTAGGTAGCCCCAATTCAGAATGCTCTCAGGTATTCGTGGGAAGGTTTTGACCGGCATATTTTAACCATGCAGAAAATTTTTTGCCTAAATTTACTCTTAAGATGAAATTTAGAAGTGATAATTTGGCTTATCAAGTTTTAAACATCTAGGGCCTAGGCCTACTGTGTTTTTTTATTAAGTCAGTGTGCTTTTAAAATGTTGTCTACCGTGAGCTACATGTACCCCCAGAACTGTAGGGTCGACGTCGGCCCACTCCCACGAATGGGAGCTGGGTGGACGTCTGACCCCACAGTTCTTGGGTATACCGTGAGCATGATGAGCATTATGATTGCCGAGAAACAAATAATAAATAGTAAAACCATTTTATCAAAGGCCTAAAATTCATATTGTATCTACCGGTATGTACATGTAGGTTTGGGACTTGTATTGCGTGTTGGATATTGTCTGAACATGTGTAAAGAAAACAAACTGTCTGATGTGAAGGAAACCATTGTCCAGGCCAGACAAAATGTTTTTGAAGTTACCATATTTTTCAAACAATCCTCAGTGCAGATGAGAAGTACTTGGCATGTGTTTGTTTAAGTCTTTGTTTTCAGATTGCTGACATTTTGATTTCTTTCAGAGGATACTTGTAAATTTTGTTCAGTGTTACCCCATGAACCACCAGAATATCTGGTAACCTGTGCACTATTCAAGTCTTTTTACAATTACTGTTTATCTACAACATTTTGTCTGACCTTTGCAGTATTTGCACACAAACGGTCTATTTTCAATCAATTTTTCCCATTGGGAGTAATACAAAGTATTCAAACTTTATGTGTGTACCTATACATGTATGTATGTGTTATAGGTCATTCTTTAAATTTTGGGTCCATCAGTGTGACCTTTCATGTCCCTGTTACGCCTGACCTGTGTACTTTGACATGGAAATATCAGTAAAATACCGGTATATTCAAACTGTTTTTATTTGTTGGGCAGATACTTTGCAATTTACTTGATCGCTTTTGGAAATTAAAGAACAAAGTCATTTCAAATTTGGCAGGGACACCATAAAAGTTACACCCAGTTAGGTTCATGATGAATAAGAGGTGTTCTGAATGATGGGAAAAGGGGTAAACACTCTGTGTGTATCACCTAAAGGGACTTGCCCTGGTTCAGAGAGTCCATCAAAAAACATGCTGTCAGCAGTTTTAGATGGCTTGCACTATCCATCCATTCACATTGGACATGAAACCACCCGGAAATGAAGGGGGACATTGAAGCGGAATTGAGTTTGACAAATGCCGCATTGCTGCCTGAGGCACACCATTTGTTGAACGCTCCCCAGCCAATGCAGAGACATGAAGCAGATGGGCAGTTCCTGTGTACATCCAAACTGGAAAGGTATGCATACCTGTCCGTACACACCATCCTATGGGTACACTGTATGCTGGGGCAGATTTTGTCGCATGTACAGTGTAACTGTAGGTAATGTACGGTGTAGAATGCGCCTTGCTTGTTTTCAGATTACATATCAATTGCAATTGTGCAACGTCTTTCCACTTCTAGATAATATTTTCCATACAAAAATTTATGCATGCAACATATACATGTACATGTATATTCTTGTGATGCAGAGGTGATCACGAAAAGAATTGTAGGTTACATTGTACGGTTTGGTCCCCTGGGATGACTTTATAGAAAGTAGGGACACATGGAATCTCCGAGCAGAATATGTGATTTAGACTGAATAAAAAATTATTAAAAAATGTACATACTATAGTATAATTTGTGAACATTAAGGACAGCAACTTTTGTACTTCATGTATACACTGCATGTATGAATAACTTTATTATATTCCATTAATTTTTTTCCTTTTATGATTTTAGCCTTCAAAAACATACATGTACATGTAACTTCCCTCCCCCAAAGAGGGACATCCCCTTATTTGTCACTATGTGTAATGTACATGTATACTGAGGGAGACACTGGAACATGTAATATTTCTGGAAGGGCAGGACTTGGCTTGTCAAGATCCATTTTTCATGTAGGAATGTTAATCACAAGGCTATTTATATACATAAGTCTTTTCACGCATCGTATATAAATACACGGGATACTATACTGTATAATTGTATATATGCCATATTCTTTTTCTAATGATAGAATTCTTGTTGCTTGTACATGAAGATGATCACTTGATTTCATTAGCCATACAAGTACTCTTTTTGGGAGGGTTTGTGTGTGGGGGGGGATTCTGCCTTGCTGAACTTTACAGAAATTTAGTTTACATTACACTAGTTTTCCTTGTAAATTGTGACGTTTCATTTTGAGAGTGTGGAAAAGATAAAAGAGGGGACAGTTTTGTGTATACATCAGCCACAACAACACTTACCTGTAGTCAAGACATTTAAGACCAGCACAAGACCCTACAAGACCATCACAAGACCAACACAACACCTCCAGTCTGAATTCAAGTCACTGCAAAAGCAGTCCTTTTTCACTGTTTACCCTGTGACTTGTGGCTGGTCTTGTGATGGTTTTGACTACAGCACTGAACTGTTCCCTCTTTTGACTTTCAGTCTGTCATGAAAGGCTCCACCCTGAAAGAGGATCAGCTCCCACCCATAATCAGAACTTACATGTAATTCTCAGTGGTTTACTGGCAAATTCAAATATTATTCTTTGCCTGAATAGAACTGTGCATGTTAAGAAGTTCCCAATGACACACTTAACAGGGGATCACAGTTAGACCGAATCTGTATAAACCTTTATCTGGTCTGAGAAGGATTATTCACAAGGAGAATGGTTTAATCTTAAATTCTAATCCCTTAAACCAAATGTCATTGAGCGTACCTAGCCATCCCCCCCCCATCAGGGACATGCGATGGCTATGATGCATTCTGTGCTTCATGGAAACACGATGTATCATTAAAGTCATATAATATTGATCCCGATGAAAGGACACTTCAGCTCTGGTGGACAAGTGTCAAATGAATACATAGTCATTAAATATTTCACACGTTGTCTCATACAAGGTTTCTGTATTGAATGCTGCAGTCTGGCACGAATCTAAGTTGACACACTTTCAATGGTCAGGTCTCCAATGGAAACTAGACACAGCAGGCCTGCTTCATAATCAGCTTATAGCTCAAGTTGCGTAACACCCTCCACTTAAATTCAAAGGGCCGCTTGGCCCTTGTGGTCTTCAATTGCCGACCACCATCAATGATACCGTTAGCCATTGTCCCGGCCACTCATGGCCTGAATGGAGAGGAGGTTGTCTGAAGAAGAGAGCACACAAATTTGTCAATGCCTGCTGTTCCCCTCAGGGAAAGTTCAGGAAGTTGTACAATTTCAGGAGTTTAAATTTCCCTCGCTTTTGGTGCCGAGATGATGGATTGTTCTCGATGCAACATTTCCTTTTTGGGAAGAATCTGTAGTCGACTTTGTCTAAGCCTTGGTTTTGGATGCTGTTGACCATTTGAAATCCATGGCAGGAGAGTGTGGATGATAACTGTATTGGCTGCCAGTCGTGAAAGATTTGTTACATCAATCCTTCATCTCTTTTAATCATTCACTGCTTAGCACTCCACCTCTGCAGGAATTCAAAGGAACTGATACAGTGTCAAGTGGTGAATTGGAAAATTCATTCATTGAGTGGATGCCATTGGGTGCAAGAAGCTCCAGCACCGATAGAGGTTTAATCACAGTGGAGCTCATACCGAGGGAGACCTACAACACCTGCAGGCCATCCAAAGTTGGCACAGGGGAGAACAAGATGAAGATTTCACTGCATCAGTTGCCTTGAGAAACAGCACTGGGTTTGGTTTGCATTGTCTGAGAACAGCCAGCAAAGCCGGTTCCAGTTCGGGGAAAAGGGGTTAATGGCTGTGAGTGGAGCAAAAACAAGTAATGAAACTGCAACTATCCAGATGTAAAGGTTATCCCTTTGGATCAACAAGTGCAGGCCACTACTGCTAGATGTTAACAGTTTGTTGAAACTGACAGGGTTGAAAAGGTGACATTTCCCCTAATCAGTTGACACTGTTTTGGAATCAGGAGTCACAGATGCTGTCACCAATACATGGTGGCTGTATGAATTTCACCAGCCTGTCTAATTGCAGAATTGACTGTGCATATGGAATGTGGGCCGATTTAGATTGCAGCTAGGCAGTTAGCACCCTGTCATGCCCTTTGTTCAACCCACCTAAGGAATGACAGATTGAGTTTGCAAAGTAGGGTCTGATTTTTCTGTAAATTGACCATTGTCTCCATGCGTCTCGCACATTGGACCTTCGCGATTCTGTTTGTCAAGAACCGTGGCAATCCACAGAGGTTTTTTGTCTTAAAGGTCTTGGGGTCAACAGGATAGGGTTTGTGGAACCGTTATGGCCTTCTACAGTACTTGGCAGGGGATACTCAGATGAAAAGCAAATGAGACGCTCAAAACTGTGTCAGGGGGAGTGGAGTGCTTCTTAAATATTGACGCTTCATCACATGCACTGCTGTTTGTACATAAGGATAATTGGAAGGTACATGTACATGAATCGGCAGTGTATTGTACTGCTCCTCAGTAAAGTTAATCACACAGTACTGTTGAAACCAATTCTGGAAAGACTTGGCAAAGTCAAAGTACATGTACATTTCTCAGTTAGCAACATGGAGAACTCCTTCCTGGGGATTTTGGTGATTGATGACAACGTTATTTCAATGCAGTGACAGCCTGAGTGGTTGTCTTCATGACAAGCGTCACCTCACACACTCCCAGGCTCCGGAGGGCCAGCAGCAAGCCAACGGCAGCGGGCCCACGGAGGCCGTTCCACCTGCCCAAACTCGATCAGCCTACCCCCAAGGGGGTGCCCGAGAGGGCTCGCTCCGACCCGCCTCCCAGATCGTGTAGGTATTTTTTTGTTTTCAGCAGCTAAGCTCGCATGCTTGTTTGGACCAAGCCAGGTCCATGCAAGGTTTTATATCCCTGCAACAGTTTTAGAGGTATTTGGGGGGGGGGTTACACTGTAGGGATATCTGTGGCATAAGGAAGAGGATAAGCAGTTAACCACCACGAAAGAATAGAAGTACCATTGACAAAAATCCAGATTAAAAGATGCCAACAGTGCTGGGAGAATGAGTAACTTCACGTAGTTTCCTTGACTGCATGAAATCAAAGGAATGCCCAAAGTACATAGTACAGTGCAGTAGGTACCTGTAATGCAAACATGTAAATGCGTGGGAGTGTGTATACTGTACACTAAAAACTTTGCATGGAGGACGTGTGTTGCTTTGTTCTGATAAAATGAGAACTGTCCCCCACCCTGGGAGAGTTGTTATATGTACCAGTGTTAGTAGGGCTGACATATGGAAATTCCCATTTCGTTTCTTGTCAAGGACGGTAGTTATACGTAATCCACACCCCGTAGTGGTGTCAAAGGGGATGCATTCTGAACCCCATCACTAAGTAGGCAGTCAATTTGAGAGAAGACAAATTGTAGAAATTGTATAGTTTTCTGTCATCTGAATGATTTCAGATGATGCTAGTGTGGGCCAGTTGGAAACATCTCTCCCCACTCGACCCCAGAGATGTGCCAGAAAGGAGCTCAGTATGATCATATTACAAGAGTGTGCAGGTGTTTTTGACTTCAGGGGTGACTTTGTTGTTTCCCATTGAAGAGCCTCAAAAATTCTAACTTACAAGAGGTGTGGGATTGTGGTGACCCCTTCCACCCCATTGTTCGTGTAAGAATGCAGTGGTACATATGCAGCCCTGCGTCCAGAATAGGAAAGCCTTGTGAAAAAACTCTGTGAACTGACTGGTGCTGTTTTCTGTGTCAATAAAGGATCAGTCTCAGGGAAGGAATTAGAGAATACATGTGTTACTTTAAGTATATGTATAAGTTTTAATAAAACATGCGTTACTGTTCACAGTTAACTTCGGTCTTGTGCAGTAGTTGAGTCTATTACTAGTCCTGCAAGTCCATCAGAAGTCGTTCAGTCTCAAGCCAACTCACGAGCCATTCAAATGTAATGAAATGTGGCAAAAGCATTCCTTTGTCCGTTTCACCCCATTACTTATACGTGTGACCTGTCTTGTGAAAGGACTTGTGAGCAGACATTACTTGTGAAAGGAATAGTGATGGACTCCACTGTGTACCGATGAACTTGGTTTAACCTGGCTTACCTTTTGCCTTTTTTGGGAGAGTTTCTTTTATACGAGTTTCTTTTATATGAGCAATTATTTTGTTGCCTTTCTCTCCATTCCTGGTACAGCCAAGCGGCAATCAAAGAAGCATGCTAACCACTCTGCAGAGCCCAGAACTCTGGAAACCACAACTAAAATCAGTCTGACCAATGTCAACACAAATGGCTCTACCTCAGCACCAGTCAGAGGCATGCGGAGAAACAGTAGGGGCGACGGCAGCGAAAACAAGGTTGATGGACCCCGGAAGACCAGCCAGGAGTCGCTTGGCACTGTGAAGAGTCGGACTTCACAGACCTCGTTTGAATCGGACCTTGGTGAGGCCACCTGCAAGATCGACGAGAGCCTGCGCTGGGACAACGTCTGCTCAGACCCTGAGCAGGAGGCTGAGCGGATCCGGGTCTACAAGATCAACCGCCGCAAGCGCTACCTGGCTGAGTCGCTGCGCAAGAGGCAGGACAAAGAGAGTGTGCTGAGCTTTGCCAAGGAGATCGCCGCCTGTGAGGACCGGTGAAAGACAGCCGTAGATTGGAAGTTCAGGGAAGAACTTAGTTGGTTTTGTGCTGTTTTGAAGCTGATTAGAGGAACCAGGCATGTACATGTATGTCTGCTGCAGCCCACACCACTTCAGCTAGCATCTGCTGTGTATAACCAGCAGAGGGTGCCTTTTTCCTGAAGCAGCCATTATTCACCTGTTTACAAGGGAAATTTGCATGCTGTCAAGGCATCATTGGATTTATGTACATGTACTGGTACGGGTATGCAGTGAATGAGAGAGAGATTACCCTTGTTGCAGTCTGGAATTTCCCAGGTACGGGTAAATGAGCAATAGCATTAGATGTGTGCTCAAAGTACATGTATACCTCAATGCATGTGTTCTGAGCTAAAGTCAGCAACCTGGGTAAAGTTTATCATTAGGAGTTTGGGGTTTTGTACAACAGGGGGTTTGAGGCAGGTTTGTATTTCTCGATCAGAAAAGGACCCTGGTAAAGATTTCTGTTTTGGTCAGCATTTGAAACCAGTCGTCCAACTTTGAATCGAATTAAAAATTGGGGTGTCACAATTAGGCTTTATGCTTACATGTATGCATACATATGGGGACCAAAACGGCCTGCTGGGTACTGAAACAATGGACAGACACCCCTCTAACTGGAAGGTATCCCCCCCCATTTACCGATTGTAGGGTTTCCAGGGTACTTAAATACACACTAACTGCTTTTCCGGATGCTCCAATTTCATTGCGCATTTATTCATCTTTTTGAGTGCACTTGCCAGCCTAGCCCAGGAGTTGATAGGTGGCCATCATTCAATCCAAATTAGATATAAACAAGTCAATGCAGGGTGTCTTAGCAGCATATTTGCTCTGTTGATTGGAATGTTCAAGGAGTTAAAAAAAAAATTGATCAAGAATATGAGTGCCAGGGTTCAAGAGATGCAGTGATTGATGGGTACCCTATCACTCCGATTTGACCCTTCAGTCACCATCTCATTTTTAGGGGGGTAACAAACACTTCAAGTGCCAGGGATGGGTCCCTGTCGGTAAACACATGAGCTGGGTGGGAATGCCACGAGTGACATGAAACACATTTTGTCTGAAGTGTGGAACCTCTTACTGTGTGTGCTCTTATAATTTTTACCGTGTTGTCTATGTCCTACTCAAAGTCGAACATTCTTTTCAATCTGCATTTTGTTTGTCCCCTCGTGAACTATCCACATTCTTTCCACTGGGCTAGTGTTGAATCCTGACATTAAAATCTTGCTCATGCATGTCCATGTATGTCAGTAGATCAAGGGCATCTCCCCCTAAAAAGGAAGAAGAAAAAATGCTTCTTTGCAAAACTCAGGTGTTATGTTCATTAGATTGAAAATTGGCATATCAAATATGCTTTTTATCTCAGAAGACATTAACTGAACATTTGTAGTCCTTTTGACAAAAGATTCCTGCGCTGAAGTGTTTGAATTTCTAGTTGACAAGTTTCCCTGTGTGATAGAAGTTTTCTTTTTTTTTTCTTTTTTTTTGGCTGAAATACTTTTGTAATATTGAGAGAAAAGGGCTTGTATGAAATAAAACAAGAAGTGATTTTGTAAGCAGCTGAATTGCTGACATTGGGTTAGCTTTGGCAGCTTCAATACTGGTACATTTATGATGTTTGAAAACAAACAGGTCAAAACAAAGATGTCACAGTCTGAAGGTAATTTAACTACACACCTGCACATTTGCCAAAAAGAACAAAATGTTTCAGTACTTCTGTGAAAGTGCTTTCATTTTCAAAAGTGCTTTTTCATATTTAAAGTGCAAGGTTTTTTAAATAGCTTAAGTATCTTAGTTTCTGCATGAAACCATAAAGAGATAGCCATTGTTCATGCACAGCTGGCTGCAGGCTGTGCATTTTTTTTAAATGTGTGTAATGTGAGATGTGCATTTTGAAGTGTCTTTCATGATTCCATTTCAGCAGACAGGCATTGTTAAAAGTCCCATACAAGGCCATGTCCAAGTCATTCGGCTATGGCCTGAAATTATGCATGAGTCTACACTAGTGGCTACAGCCAGTTCCCATTTCAAACCGCAGCTAAGTGGATGGAACGTCCCCTAATTGCATGTATCTCATAATTATAATTATCATCCGAACAATGCCCTCTCATGAGTTGCTGTGGCTGCACTAAATACCGTACATGTAATCTAGCTTTCTAAATGGCGACAAGGCAGAAATTTTTGAGGTTGTTCACTTTTTTTCTGATTTGCAGTACAGATAGTTCAGTTAGGTGCTTGTGAACTTTTACAGTGTGTGTATACATGTCGGTCACTTTGTTGTTTGCCCCCGTTTTTCTTTGCAGAGTTCTTTTTTATCAATCGTTCAAAATGAAGACTTCTTAATTTCCAGCATTATTGTTTTGTCAGATGGTGTATACCAAAAATGTCTATTTATTGAAATTAGACTTCAAAGGAGGTCTCTAAACTTCTAATGCATATGCATTTCAAGAAATTTAGAGTAATTATTGAATTTCAAATTTGAAAGCATTTCCTGGAATCAGGGTAAATGTGAAATATTTCGAAATCCATACAGAAGTGTTTGTTAAAGAAATAAATGCATTCAGAAAAATTCTCCGAGTTTCAATTGAATTTTCTTTCATCATGTAAACAAAAATACAAGGCAGGCTGATAATGTTGGATTTTTTACTAATAATTTAATTGTCACCTGGCACAATACACAATACAAAACAGCATACATATAAAAGTACAAACCACAATAATGACAACATCTATTCGATCGACTTTTATCATGCATTGATTTATGCATTTCTTGTAAAAGGGGAACTGTCTTGTGTGAAGACAGTATCTGATGAGTGATTGGCCAATGTTACAATGATGATGCCATATGAGAAAAAAAACTGAAGGGAGAACATTTCACTGGTAATTGCTGACCAGTGTGAAGTGGTCACCTTCCTTTGAAATCTCCAAACCTTGCCACTGAGGCCATTTTTCTAAACCGCATCTTCTTTCCTAGCCCTGGCTTCATCAGGGGTACCATGATGCAGAAGCCACGAGGCAGAAGCCACAGCCAGAACTGATGCTTAGGTTTGAAGCCTGAATCAAGTAAAATGCTCTTCAAGGAGCCATGGAATATACACATGTAACATCTTGGTAACCACACATAACATGGACGAAGGAATGCCCCATATATACGCAGTACATGTAAACTAGTGCACACCAAGTGTGAATAAACTCTTTATGTAGCATTTAAGGTAAGGCTTTTTAAGACAACCTTTGATACCGGAACTGTTACTGACGTGAACATGGAACCATGTTCATGTACGTTAAAACAAAATATCTCACAAGCCGGTTATATCTGGAATGGCCAATTTTCGACGCTAAAAACCGCTGCAAATATATCAGGAATGTTATGATTTAGGTAGGATTTCTTACAGGAAATAAAACGAAAATGGCATCACTGTGGTTGCCAGGATGGGTAAAAACATGAAAGAGTAATGACAGCTAAACACTTGTCTTTGTTTTTCAAAGCAAGGTCACCCTCTGTATTTAGTAATAATCTTAACCAATCAGTAATCTCTACCTTCAAGAAAAATCATAAAATAGTCTGATAACATATAATTATTTGAATAAATAAAATTACATACATGTATTTTTTCCACGGTGTACCCCCAATTTTCTCAGAAGGTCACTCTGATAAATGCTGATAAAACATTGACAACAGACTAGCCACATCTTTGTATTGATTTGTGATACAGGCTGAAGTTAGGAATTGAAGGAATGCGAAACATTGCGGAAGTTCATGTCATGTCAAGCTGTTATATAGCACCCATAAATAACAAACAGGGTCTTTTTATACCTTGCATTTACATTTGCGTGAACATTTTCATTCCCATTGCTGCGGAATTCTGAGAAATTGTAAGAAATCTGCGCCTGCAAATCCGTAAATAAAAGACTATTCGACCTGCTTGTGCTTGGTTCCCATCGTCAAATGTCGACGGATTGGCATGTACGTACGTGCATTGAGAATTGAGACAACTGTCAATAGCTCGAAACAGAAATGGCCTACGTACGTAGCGGGGATTTATTAATTTTAGTCTCCTGACCTAAAATAAAAACTCTTTTTAAAGTTGATGTGCATGCCGTAGTGTACATTTACTTCCGTATTTGCTTTCCAAATTGAGGGAAAGAAAAGAAAAGGGTGTATTTGACGAAACAAATACGTCAACAGCGCTGAAATCACAATACGTGAAATTCGGGTTTTTTTTCGGGAAGCATGTATTTCAATGAAGGGTGTGGGTATGTCATAACTGCAGCAATATCATCTCCTTGGCCCACTAGGCAGGATCCATGAAGCCTCGTCGCATTTGAACACTGACCAATCTCTGCCGTTTAATAGAGTGTTTAATGGAGAGTACCATAGATACACCGATCTCCATCTCTGTGAAGAATACATGTGTAGTACGGTTTCGAATGACATTACTTCCTCTCTGGCAGACTGCCACGTGCGTCGGCATTTTGGACGTCATATTTACGTGGCACGCCGTATTTTGATCAACACGTAAGGGTGTATAGCGCGTACTGCGCGCACGTACACGCACCTAATGGCGTTGAATCAAAGAGATCACGCATAAGAAGAACTTACTATCGGTGTGTTCGATTAGCTTCCCTGAATACACCAGCGTCATACGCAAGGGAAGCCTCGAAATGAGGCTAATGGAACGCTGCAGTGTATTCGCTAAGGCATTCTGGGAAAAAGGTCAAGTCCTCGCCAGTTCCAACATATCCATGCTCTAACAGTCCATCCGTGACGTCATTACACTCGGACAGCCCCCACAGACCTGCTCGCCAGCCGGGGTAGTGGTGGCTGACACCAGAGCAGGCACGAAGATCACGTGATGGCTAAACGAACGCTTTCGTAAGCTAATCGAACGCATCCATAGATCTCTATATGCGTTGCATACGCAGTTGTAATTTTCTAGGAGGGTTGTGCATGTGTCCTGTGCATATGAAAGTGATCTAATGGAGACGCGCATTGGGCGGGGCTTTATAGCGGATCGATTGATAACATCACCTTAGTGGAGACAAGCACGAATTTTATTCTCTGGCTTGCGCTTCCGAGCACAGGCTGTTTCTGCCAGCAAGACGGCTGCCACCCTTTCAGTCCAGTTTCCTATCCTGTAAATAGACTGGCCTGCTTGCCCTGTCGTTTTGAAAATTACTTCATCCAATCCAAGCCTATATCGTAAATATTTTACATATATTTTGCAGCTAGTTCATCATTTAAAACAAATTACGATTTAATAAAGGACTTGGTCGTTTCAGACGGATCTGGATCTCGATCTGTGATCCCAACACTGGCTCGGTCCTTCCATTATGCGGGTTCTGGTGAAAGTGATCGTGAACCAACGACAGATTACTGATCGAAATTCGTATCCGTGTGAAACAAGTAGGCCCATAAACAAAATAACCTGTCAAAAATTAGTAGTGAGATACAACCACAGGCGGCGCTGTAAACTTCATAAATATAACTACTGTTCACTGAAGAAATGATAAAATGGAAATTATTCCAGAGGTCTCAGAATTGAAACGGTTACCTGAGTACATGTCAACTACATGCGTTTCCATTTTTTCTGTTTCACTACAGTATTTTTCGGCATTGATTTGACTCAAAGACGTGCTACTAAAAATCCAGGGTCTTTTCCGCTTTTTATATTACACAACTTCAGGTAAATATGTAAATGAAGTACCATATCTACTGCTAAAAAGTCAAATTCAACTCTGCCTATTGTAGGATATGGTGTATATAGAAACACAGCAAATTTACATACACAACACATAACATTCTAATTTATTCAGATATGGCTGTTTTGGATTCCCATTTTAATTTTTTTCAAAGCGAAATTTTAATTAGCAATAGCTTCGATTATTGTGATTCAGCCTCCCCCCAACTGTGATAAGGAATGCATAACCGTGGGCAATATTTTCTGCCCGCCCCCTACTAAAAATAAAAAATAAAAACTAGTTTGTTAAACTGTCGATACGGACACAATATATACGGAAGACTTTCTAAGATGTCCGGAGCAAGGTTGTGATGGCTTAGTTGTGCGTGTTCTGGCTTCGAGATCGGATGTGCTCATGCAAGCAGCCAGAATTTCCCGCGCAGAGAGGAAAGGTTATGCATAGCTACGTCATAATCTTCGTGCCTCTTTAAATTGGTCGCTGGAAACTAAGGCAAGCCTGTAAATCTTCACAAGAATTCGACTGCTATGCGGATTCTCCCCCGTGACAAACGATGTTGCTTTAGCAAGCGAGCTCCCGCTGAGAACCATTCATAAGAAATGAACTTTTGACTGATGCTAACTTAACTGTGCTAACTTAACAGTTTCCATAATAGTTAGCTGGTTTCCCTGCTTACCGGCTCCTTGGAAATGAATTCTGCAGACTACAGTGGAGTTGTTTCGTGGGCTAATGGTTATACACAACGTACGGCAGCAACCTGTACAGCCAAAATCCGCAGGGGGTTTCGAACACAGTAGGTTTTTGTTCTGTGAGGCGATTGCAGTCCTGGATCAATAGCTGAGGTGGACAAGTTTGACGGAGACAAAGTCCCTGGCCTCCAGTTCGACTGCCACCCGGTACCTCTTGACCATCTTGGCCGAGTGATGCTCCAGACTGCTCACCACGTTCCTCTGGGGGAACTTGGGGAAGACGAACACCGTGGTGGTGAAGGTCTTCGGGGGCGTCAGCGCTGCGGCCCCAGGGATCATGTAGACGGCGTCCCGGTACCACCGGAACTTGCTGTTGGGGAAGCACTGCGTGGTGGTGCTGTAGGTAGTGGTGGGCTTGGCGCCCAGGTGGAGCCGCACCTCCTCGCGGAAACGCCGGTTGTCCCGGATCACCCACTCGAGGCCGTAGTGGCGGCGCTGGTACGGCGGGCGCTCGGTCAGCGAGACGCTCTCCGTGTAGCGGCGGTATGGCAGCTTGTAGGCCTGCCGGGCAGTGCCGCTCTCCTCGTCCTGTTCCTCCTCGGAGAAGCAGGAGTCCGACTCGGAGCCCGAGTCTGTCCGTGAGTAGCTTGAGGAGGAGCCGGAGTAAGAAGAGCCCGAAAAGCTCTCGCCGTAGCTCAGTCGCTTATGGGCGGAGCTTGGACGGCCGAATGGGATGTCTGCTGGATCAATGTCCTTCTCCGTAACCTCCTGGTGGGAATTAAGAATATAAACCTTTTAAATATGCGAAGAGCAACAAAGTCATGGAACTTTAAAATCTATCCCAGCTGTATGTCATCGCCTCCACTCGTTGGAATGTGCAAGGACGACAGACAAAAAATGGGCAGTCTTCGTCGTGTGTTCAACGCAACAAGAATGTATCATGTTGATAAAGTTTACAGATTGCCCCCATGACAGGATTGCGCTCATCATCCTGACAAGTTGATTTAATGTCGCGTATAAATGTGCCTCACTTTTGTCTGACGAACAGTATCTTCTCGAGGTAACAATTTAAATCCTGCCACGTATATGAGATACCCTGACTAATCTGGCTAGTGTGGCAATTTTTGGCTTTTTGTTAACGGTGTGTTCAGATGGCAGCTTTCCCCATCGGCTCCAGACAAGCCAAAAGACGAGCAAAGGCAACCCACTGCTCGTCATGTCTCTCTCGTAATCACCGGCGAAGACAACGAGACAGCGTCGTTTTGCAGCGATAACCACTGCAGACGGTAAACAAGCTAGGGGCTCGTGTACACCCAGCAGCGCAGAACGACGACGGTACGCAGACACACATTTAATCGGCAATTATGCGAGATCAAGGTTGTACACTAATGATTGAAAGCATATGCAGGAACACGGGGGGGGGGCTGAAAGAAAAGCTGGAGGTCTCTCTGTGCACCAACATCTGACCAAGCTGCACCGAGGATTTCATCATGTCAAAAGTGGGACTTCCACCCTACCCAACCTGGGCGTCAGCAATCTCTGTACACGCTGTAAACGTGCAATTGTTGCTTCACAGTTTAATGCTAAGCTTTTTCAACACACTTGTGGCTAAAATCTTTTATACCGCCTACGCTCTTTAGCCATTTGCGACCAAAGTTGGCTATTTTGCTGTGTTATTCCGCAGTTGAGGCTATTCCATGCCGCTTGTCCGTCCATACAGCACAACGCCGCTCGACGTGCTTAAACCGACAATTTCGCCAGCGCACAGATTAATACCCTTTATGAGCCACTTCCGAATCGGTCATCAACGAATTTTGTCTGACCAGATGCAAATCTTTTATATGATACGACCTGACTCTTCAGACTTCAGCGACAGGGTAATTTGCCAAGGGAAGTGTCCATCCACCATTTCCTTGACACATCTTTTAATTGACTGTTTCCCCTCTCCCGTCTCGGGCTACTCTACCCTATAGGTGAGTTACTTACTGTCAATACCATCCGTGGTATACCATTGCCTGTACTGCAGCACGGGAAAAGATGTTGAAAATTGGCTGAAAAGAGGACCCAGATCCCCACCCCGCGACCAAATATCGGATAGGGCGCAGCGCAGTCGAGGTAGTGTAAACAACACATGCAGAATGAAGGTACCTTTACAGAAAATTATTGAGCGGGATCGCGCGGGCAAACGGTGATTTTCAACATCGTGCTGGTGAAATTTGTCGTTTGTCCACATCCACGGAAATACGAGTCAGACAAAGTGTACATGTACCATTCAATTTTATGCATGCCTGTAAGATTATGGATATCGCATCAAACTTGATCAAGCGTCCTCTCGATAACCATGGGATGCGGAACGACGGATAGAATTATTACAAGAAGCAACAGGTGCGCTATGACTGCATCGGGGGTATAATAACACCTCTGGCCAAATGAACTGACCGAACCTACCTGATACTTGTTCAATGTGTCCATGATTCGCCTCAAGATGTTCAGCTGCAATCAACACTGGCGGAAATGTCCAATAAAAAAAACTCGACCGTGGCATCAGCGCTAAGTGGCGCTCTCCTGTAACACTCGCGCCCGATTGCTGGGGCAGTGCTGGCCGTTCTAATGCTTCGTCACGGACTGCACTGAAAAACCGGTGACTTCCTGGTATGCCCTCTTACACGCGACCAGCGTTCCCGCACTTGTTGACATACGTTTGTGTCACAAAAGGCGCAAATCGAAAGCGCGTGAAAAGAATCTCTCACGCACAGACAAAAAATAATCGATGTTACCAGAGTGTTGCGAGCTACAAGCTCACACCACCCACCAGATTATTCCACAAAACAGAGACTGTTAGAAATGGAATAGCCTGCGTTGACGTCACACTCCTCACCTGCGATTTATTTTCTTTTGCCGTTACCAAGGAAACAGAAACGAGTACGAGAGTGACAAACTTGACCTCTGCGCTGAAAGCATCCGCGAGTGTTCATTGTCTTTTATGTAGGGCCGGGGCCTGGAGTCCTCCAGTGGCAGACATCAAGCAAACACAACAAGGCGTGGGGCTCTGCGGCAGACACGGCACGAGCCTCTCTCAAACAAGGAGCAGTCGTTTAATTGTTGAAATATTAAGCGGGAAAGAGAAAAACCACGACTGTTTATGCGCAAATCGGCCATGTTGTATCAACAGCGAGACGATCCCTGCAATCATTACAAAAATTGTATATATCCATGATGTAGTCAGATACTTCCCCAAATCATGGGGGTATAATGAATAAAATACATATAGATTCGGGGAGCCAAACCCAACACAGTCGTCTTGTGAATATTATTTCTCATCACAAACAAAATTAAACAGCCTCTACATTAAGTAACGAGATCCAAAGCAACAAGTCAGAATTTAAAAGAGCCAAACGAAAACCCTCACGATACAAAATGGTCCAAACAATCAGGACTCACAATTCAAACCCCTAGCTGTAGCAAACATAATCAAATTGTTGATGGAGACACTGGGATCGCTAAACGACCCTTCCTGGAAGGCGTGGCACAGCTGTCATCCAGGCAAACAACCAAATTTATGAAGAGAAACATGTGAGTCGATACAGTTGTGGATGGGCGACATCCCGAAACTGGGCTTTACATTCAAACCTAAGAGGTAAACCAACTCTTCTTTATGCGTGCGTGAACATATTTTCTCTTCAGCAAAACCGTCAAAAATGTTGCTCATAACTTTCAGCCCGCGGCATTGTCCGGACGTCAGTTCCGTTTTACATGTACCAGGAAAAATTCCGTGGCATAAAGCCGAATTGAATAAAAAGATCAAAAGGTGGAAAATTGGAAAAAAAAGTTCCCCGCCGCGTTGGGGGGTCAGAGGCCAACTTTTTTTCCTCGCTGCATTGGAATTTATTGAAAACAAAACTAAGAATTGAACAGGTGTCGATGGATCTAAGAATAGGGTGCTTGTGGAAAGGCTGAAGGGGCCGGAGGGACAAGTTACGAATCTGTTCCTTGCTCTATGATTGATGCAAGATCAATTGATCGTGATGCGCAATTTTGATTCCACGAATACCTTATTTTCAAACAAAAGTAAACCAACAATTTTTATTTGCAAAAGATGCTGTTCAGTTGTACAGAACAGCCCAATCATGCTTTGCTAACGGACAAATGCAAAAAAAGAGTATGCACAGTGTCTTGAACTCCGAGAATGACGTCATAATACGGAAAGCAAGCGATTCAATCCACATTTTGCCAGCGGGTGGTGTGACACGGCGACAAGGGCAAACAGCACGACGTTCCCCTTTTCTCGGACCCCTGTGCCGTTGGGGGCGGATGGATCAACCTTCACACCGCTGCCGGTTTCGAAAAATAAAAATCATCCGTCTGTGCTGCCCAGGTTTTAGTTTTGCTTGAAAATCGGGATGATTAATGCTGTGACGTCAAGACCGAAACCTGACAGCCAATAAGCCGACTTTCAGGAGCCACACATTTTTACCTTTCGTGTCTCGTCACCGTGCCTCAAAGGGCGCGCGATTTATGTAAACTCTGATGTGTGCAAGGGGAAACGAGAAGTCCATGATTTGTCTAGACAAGTTTGCCCAACCGTTTCTTTTCCTGTTCAGTGCAGTCAGTCTTCAGCCCGTGAGCTGGAGCCACACCGTCTTTTATACAAACGGCTTCCCTATTCTCTTTTCTATTCATCTGCCAAATATCCCCTCAACATTGGGTCGTGACCAGCACAGGTTGAAACCAAAAAAATGATATATTATACACAGCTTTCATGTACACGGATCTCGGTTCGTTTGACTTGCTTCGTGTTTTACTGACAGCTATTATTCGACCAGGCAAACGTTTCGAAATAAGTCATCCTGTTGGTCAAATAATATGCAGGCTCTATGGAAAGAGGCCTCGTATTGTTTTGCCGTGGCACGCTGTGCCCTTCTGATGGCTCAGCGCTGTTGAAAAAAAAAAGGTTTTCACTCCTTTGTACCAGTAAGGCACTAGAATTGTATTATAAGCAAGTAAAATTTGTGAAACCTTGGTCCATTTAAATTATTTTCTTTGCGGTCAAAATCAGCCTTCAATATTTTTCACCTTCTGTATTTTCCCGCAGCATTCAAAAAGTATGCATTTTGGGCGCTACGAAATCTGATTTGTTAAAAAACATCTTGAAGATATATAAGAACGGTGATTGATTGAACACAACCAATCTTCAGACACCTATTAATCACCAACCACAAAACCATTCTTCAACCTGATCCTAGTTGTATGGACTGGCAAGATGACGATTTACAGCAGCAGTCGTTCATTTTAACAGAGTAGCTCGCGGCCCAGGTGAATTATTGAACGCAAAACGGCGAGCGTCGGTCTCTGCTAACCACCATGCCATTTTTCAGGATATTTATGTGACGCCTACTGCTCACTTACATCTAGTTTATACCTGACTTATAAAAAAGGAGAGTGGTCCCGGTGAATTCCTGCATGAACTATTCATGGTTGTATACACATGTGCATCATTGACCAATTCCGTTTGCTAATGAGGCAAAGCACGTTGAATTTCTGTCGTCTTTGGAATGTATAATCATCAGTGTTTTCTGTTAATTAAGTCAAAAGTGAGAGACGTTAGCCTATTGTCATAACTGCAAACTTCAGTGACGTGATAGCGGTGGCAATAGGCCTACTGAGAAGAGCACTGTCTCAGAAGTATGAAGCTACAGTCTCAGACTCCACGTTAATGAATTAACCAAAGAATTCGTATCTGAACCTAAAGTACAAAATCACCTTCAACAAATACAACTCAAGCAAAATTTAATTCGAAAGCTTCGTATTTAAGTTAACCAGTAAGGCAGTAACCAGCATCCACACACTTCATGATCTACATAACAGAACATCGAATCCTACCATCTTATGCAGAAAATCCATCCTATCCTGTAAAGGTTCTGCTACTCCGAAAGACACTACTTCAAAGACAACAACTCGTCAACTTTATACCAAAGACGGGAAGACGCACGAAAACAATGGGTTCTGGAATGGACTCGACGTTGTCGTCTGCACTCGGCGTCTTTTACTCTGTACATCTAAATACTAAACTTGAACGCACGCACTTCATCAACGCCGCAGCGCAGTGGGCGCTGGGGAAAAAGCGGCCGGGCGCTCCCCCGGATGGTTATCAAGTGGTGACTTGACCCCCGAGTTATCGTATAAAGTTACACATCACTGTCGGTGAAACGCTCACAACTTGACCCTGTGGGACCGAAATTGGTTTACACAACCGGATTCCATAGCCAGGTTTTATGAGACATTAGAGGAGGACGGTTTTGTTTTAATCCAGCCAGCGATTACCCCTTATCAAAGGAAATATTTGAGGTGATGCATTTTTGAGTTGCTGATAAAATGTAACAGATATAAACCAGAATATACTCTCACTGTCGAGTTACATCGTTGCACAGGGTAAATGTCTTCTGTTTGAAAAACAAACTCTTGCTCTAAATTTAACAATATACATGTATTACTTACAACTATGAGATTTCTCCAAGCAACCTCAAACTTCATAGTCTGGTACCTCTATCTGATGAGCTGAAATACTTGAATTTTGAACAACAAAAAAAGTACCGGGAAGACATTTATTTTGAAGATACCGTTCACGCTTTATTAGGCCTATTTAGTGTCTCTTTGTCCCTTTACCGACAGTCAAGTCCGTAGTTGTGGACACTTCTGCAGCGCAAGAATTTACCAGTATTCCCCCCAAAACAACAAAATATTTTTAATACTTTGGAACAGGTTTATTCCATACCGGTCCTAATCTGCCGATTAGAGATTTTGACACCCTGATCTCACCGTATACTACTACGGAAGCGTAAAGCTGTCAAGGTAAAAAAAAAAAGCTTAAACCCCAACGACTTAGTCTCTCGTTTGAATGGCTTACTATCTCGTTTAAACCCATGGACGATCATACGACTATCTGAAATCATCGTTGCGACGTGGCATGCAACGAGTCCGCTTCCGTGTATCTAAACCAAGCGCCCTCAAACATTGACGTAAGAAGAGACAGTGCCCGACTGAAGAGGGCGCTGCACTGCACAAAATAAGGCCGTGTCAGAAACGGGCTTCCAGAGCTACGGCTAGGTCTATTGTCTACGCGTCTCCGAACGCATTTCCAATGGAACGAAGACCTAGACCTAGCTCTAGACAAGAGATCCGGATACAGCCTAATTCTGCAGAGTGCATTCCACCAAATCGTCCACCAAATTTCTGCGCGCAAGCTCATTAATAATTTGTGATCCCACGAGATTTTTACAATAAGACAGGCCATAATCAGAAGGCATCATAGAAATATTTCTATAAATCCCGAATTTAGGACTGATAGTTTCCAGTTCGGGGTTTTTCTTTCACAAAAAGCTCCAAATTGCGGGCCTATTTTGGATAGAACTGGAGGCGGGCGGCTACATTCAGAAATGAATTTTACTGCTATTTTAGGGGTATCTTTGTTCAAAGGCAAATAAAAATTTGATGGGGCTAACCACCATGAAATTGAAACGAAAAGTTATCTTCTGGCCATAATCTTGAATTTCCAGTAAAAAACGGAGGCCAACCTCTTCACGAGAGTCAACAGGCGGCGCTATTTCGGTCCGATTTTGCACTGTAATCTATGGGCGCGTGCATTTGGTGTAGTGCAACCTGCAGTTATGTTTTTGGGAGTCATAAGAAGAAGATTGTAGAGAGCGCTACAGAAGGGCTCCCCCCGCATCGCGAGCAGTATAGGGGACCCAGTTGCTAGGCCCAGGGGTAGAAGTTCTTGGCACTGGTCGGTTGAAAGCGATTTTACACGGGACATGCTGGCCAGCTTCTTTTGTAACAAGCAATAATAACCAACCTATTATGGCAATGATTATAAAAGTTTATTCTGAAGGCAGGCTTGCCTCGACTTGTTCCAACAAGACTACGGACGGCAAAGAGGAGAAAGTGTAGGCTACATCATATGAATCTGCACTTCAGCTTTTTTTTCTCCAAAAATTTCAAACCCATTTTCCCTAAAGGGTGAAATGTAAAAAACTGTGTAGAATAATTCTTCCTCATGAGTGCATATCTAAAAAGTCTTACTCCTTCCTCTAAATGGACAAAACACGATTTTAAAATATACATGCACACCCCTGTAGTCTTGGGTTGGGCCCAGGGCTAGGGTACGACTAACTCCTATCCCGTAGACCTGCCACTATAGTATATTTGCCCACCAATCGGAAATACCACTGGGCGTCGTTCAAATTCAATATGCGACAATGACGGTGCTAACACCATTAACAGACGGTTTACTTACCCACTGTATGGAAAATTCCTACATGGGTTGAAAGTACTTTTTAGTCCATTTTAGTTCGGTCACGAGCGAGTGATTTTAGGATCTACAAACCACATGGTGTATGGACTGAAACGCGTGACTAATTCCAGCTTGATAAGCGCTTGTCGATGACGGATGGATACACATTACTCTTTCACTGATGAGTATATTGGAGAAAGAAACAAGACCAGAGAAGTATAAAATATGTAAATATATGATCTAGCATTTGCCGGTAGTTGTGATGCGACAACGTTGCGCGCAAGTGGGCCTACATGTATTAAAGCCATTGCAATGTTTTCACGCGTAGTATACTGCTACGAGTCCCTTGTCCGTAAAAATTAACATTTCTATAGGAAGATTACATTCGTTT